CCCCCCCGGGATGGACGAAGGAGCTCTGTCATCATGTCGGTGAGGAGGAGAGAAGCCGCCCCTAGGAGGTCCAGGAGTTGAGTGCCTGATTCAATGGCTTCATTTCCACTCGCCCCCACGTAATTTTCACAAATTGCGAGGGAGCGAGTGGAAATTTTGAAATTGTCGGATACTCGATCGGTGACAGCGATCAGGTATCTGTAAAATCTTAATTCTTTAATTTATGGATGCCTCAATACTGAGGCATTCATTAATGAATGGTAACCGCTGATTCTTATCGGTTACTGACTTTTTGACAGCCCCAAATAGTTGATCACGTACAGTGTACGTGATCAGTCATTTGGGCACTTCATGATGGTGGAGGTACAGTGTACTTTTCCAGTCATAAAGGGGTTAAAGTAAACACAAAACAAACCCACAAAATATGTACTCACTGAAAAGACACTATGAAGGGAATTTTGTCAAAACTGGAGCAGACAAAATCTGGAGCAGCTGTACATGACAACCAATCAGCTTCTATCTTTTATTTTTAAAACTGGAAAAAATGAAGAGAGTAGCTGATTGGTTACTATGAGCAATTGTTTGAGATGCTTTCTGCTCCAGTTTTGGTGGCACAGATCTTTATGAATCATCCCTCCTTGGAATGGTGCTTGATTAAATCATAATCTGTATGAAGTTGTGTTAAATAACGCCCTTCCTTTGACAGCTACCAGCTAATACTTTGCATGGCTACTTACACTCAAACCCAGCTGTTACTTACAGCTTTGTTCCCCACTAATATCTGGGAACCAATCACTATGATCACATGCAGCTAAACCAATGTGACAATGTGCAAACTGAACGGCTTCATTGGGAAAAAAAAATGCTTTCGACTTGCCGAAGCTACTGTAGCCTTTAGATGGCACTGCCTCTGTTTAATACTGTAATTGTTTGGCACAATTATGGTATTCAAATCAATTAATTAAAAAAGTTATATTGTTTAGGTAGGCAAATAGTCATAGTATATCTAGACTTCAATTATCTCCTGGTTAATAAAGGCTTGAGGAGGGAGGACAGATGCCCTTCCATTAGCGTCATTGGAAATTATCCAGTGAATTTTCATGTACAATATATAAATGAGCCAGTAATAATGGTGCAATGTAACTATGTAATAAACTCTCAATACTTTAATACTTTTAGCTCTATCGTCCCACTGGAATAACAACTGGATACCAAACCTTCAGACACATTCATGACCCTGCGTGGAGAAAGCGAGACCAGAAACGGATTGCTGCTCAGAAGCAGGTACACTTCTAGAACTATAGATTTGAGTTGCACAGAACAGCTATTCAGTGTCTGTATTGGCAAAGAGAATAATGTCATATGCCCTTGCACAGAGAACCAGTATTGTGATCTAATATGTTACCACATGCACTAAAATAAGGAGCTCTGTTCTGTAATCTGACTGCTTTTTATTTAGGTAGAAAGCAAAAGTTTGTTCATTTTTCTGTGGGAAATTGTAAAAATGCTTCAAATTCACCTGTGGTGCTTTTGTCCCTTTTTAAAAAGAAACTGCTCCATGCAGCAAAAAGAAAATGATAAATGTATGCCATAAATAATAATGGAGATTTCAAAAGTGCTTTCAGGATCTTTCAGTGTTACTTTTACATTAAAGGTCTGCCATAAAAATTCCAAACCCTTCATTGGGGTTTTTTTTTTTTCTTGCTCCTCTCAAAAGTGTACCCCTTCTTTTTTTTTCTGTTTCAGAGGGAATACAATAAGCATCACTCATGTGCCATCACTGTCACTTTTTTGTTACAGCCCAGGTGTGCTGTATTGTGTAACAATGGGGAAAATGGCAGTTAAATCCGATTTAATTCCAGGTTATGACGGCACCAAATGTGAAAAAGTCCAACGTGAGGCGTAAAAGTACTTATGCAAGACCTGTAACTGCCGATTGTTTCCCTATAAAATGTCAAATGCTTAGTTTGAATGGTGTGATGGAATAAGTTTACGGTCGGTTTTGCCCAATAATGACATGTTCTCTTTTCTCTTCTGTACATTTCAGGAACAGTTTAAAGTGGACCGTGAAGGGGGATTACACAGTGTCCAGTATCGTGTGGAAACTCGATCCGAGTTAACCATTGGCGGTGCTCCATGTACGGTGCTGAATGTACTGCTGGATTGTGACATGGCTGAGACCCCATGGTGTGCTTTTAGCTAAATTCATAATATATTTTTTGAGTGAAATGACTGCGGAGAGAGTCTGCTTTCCTGTCAGACACGTGAATCTGTAGCTAGATATGAACTGTAAGAAATTTTATATATTCTAATAAAATGATGGAAAATCTGCTTTCGTGTCGCTCAGTCAGATAATACTACGTTGCAGTTTTTAGTGAGTGATTGGTTCAGGCATTCATAAACTCTGAATTTCTATTTAACTGCTAATTTATTAAGTGTAGTATAATAGTAGTTTTCTACTAAGTAGACAGTCGCAGTGTGATGTGGTGCCGTCTGATGTACTGCAGAAAAAATGCAGCGTGTGTTGCAGTATAAATGAGGCACATAGAAAACAATTTTGTGCTCCACCGGTGTGCAGAAAAACAAGATCACCACCAATTAGTGTCAGGGTGGAGAGTGGGATGAGACCGGGGAACATCTGGTGTGACTCAGGAAGCGCTGTACTCGCAGCCACACCTGTCAGAGGCCAGTTGAAATACAAATTACACAGAGCACAGCATTGTGCCCGATTCCCTATCTCATGCATTGGAGGGCAGGGGAGACATCTGGGGAGTTAAAGACCCCAGATGTCTCCATAAAGAGAAACTCGCCTCCAAAAGCGATCACATAGGGGGTTTGTTAGGCCCTGCGTGATAGCAATAAATTTAAGTTAAAAAAAAATTAAAAAGGTAAAAACAATATTTAAAATCTGCAAGTGAACGAAAACGTGCGTAGGGCGTGTGTAAATGAAGATTGCGCCTCACATGTTGGGTATTGCCACAAACATCGGATTAAGAGCAATAATTCTAGATCCATAATTTGCTGTGAACTCTAAACTAATGAGCAGTAAAGGCTTTTATAGCGTCTCCAATGGGCAATTTTAAGTACCATAATTTTTCTAGTGATGACAATAACAAAGATATATTCACCTGAACCTTAAGCCTCTCCCCTCCTCCGCTCCAGTGATGGAATGTCCCCCAGCGTCCCACGTCCTATACACTGTATAGGACATGATGACTCGCAGTACGTTAGACCGCTGGAGCGGAGCGGGACCAAGGCTTAAGCGATCGGTCTAACACCTGGCGCCGTTCAGGTGAATATATCTTTGTTGTTTGCATCCCTAGATGAAAATGAGCACTTAACCCTTGCAGTGTGTGGGTAGTCCCACCACAGTCAGGTAGGAAATGCATATTGGCCTGTTTGGAAAGGTAAACTGACAACCTATTACTTCCTAATTACAGAATCCGAGAAGTGCTGCTAGTCTTACCTTTTCATATGCACACTAAGGAAATGGATATGTTTGTATATTTGCATGTCGCAATGTTTCCTAAAGTCCAACTGCCCTCATGTCTAGCAGACCCTATAAAATACTCTTCCTTCTACTACATGTTAACGCATGCTTGATGCACCCAACCATTAGAAATCTATACAGCTGTAGAGACTAAAGGCAGTTTCCCAGTCTAAAAATCCACTTTTTGATGTCACATTTTTCTTATTTGTATGCCAATATTCCACATGGCTGTAGCATGTGAGAGATTACTGCAGGCAGGGCTCAGTACACACAGGCTTTCGTCCATTCCATATTGTGATTGAATGGGAACCTCAAGTGTGAAATATCTATATATCTGGTTTTAAAGCAGTGGAGCATTATGCCAATGTGTGTCTTGTAGAATTTCTGCACTGCGGCTGACAGGTAAGTGAGCTGTCAGTCCTACGCAAATTTGACTTTACCTGTAAAATCTGAGCCAAGCATCCCTGTTTGTTCTATAGTGTGATGATGTGTTAGGATCAATTTGGAGCTGCATTATAAGTGACCACCCAATGACCTGCAGAAGAGCAACATGGGACCCTGAAGAAGTGGTAGAGAAGATGGCGGTACCAGCAGCTGGCGTGATGAAGAATAGCAATACACAGTGATGGCCAGTCATCATTGGAGGATGGCAAACAGAAATGAGAATCTGCTATAAAGTACAAGTTCCGCTATAACTATATTTTCAAGAAGAAAAATTCTAGGTAACAAGCGAGAGCATTCAGAGAGCTAATGATGCTATAAAGTAAACACAGGAGCGATGCCAATGTTAGAAGGTTCATATAGTTAACCTTAAAGGAGAACTGTGTAGTGAGGGAATTGAAACTGTCACACGTCTGCTCTATTGATTGTGAGTGAAAACTTACCGCTGATCCGCTCACTTCCCGATCATCTCCCTGCAGACAGCGGTGACCATTAGTCACTGCTCCCTGCTGGGATTCCCTTCTCCCTGATCCTCCAGTGCTGGCTGGAGGGAAAGACAGGGGAAGGGGTGGGAATAGCTGGTTCTGCCACTAGATAGGCAGAGCCCGCTGTCAATCAACCAGCTTTGTGGATCTTGATAATATTGTCGGGATCTGTCCCGGCTGGGGCGCTCTCAGCTATTGTCCGCTTTATGCTGAGATTTGGGTCACGGGAGAACACGTTATATGTCCTCCCGTGACCCTGTGGCGAACTATGGAAAAATAAAAGTTGCCCCATAGTTCTTTAATCTGAGTTCTGCGTAAACGCCTACAGAATTACATCACAAAATCCATAGAGGGACTGTACTCCTTGAAGCCTGTACCATGTGAAGTTCTCTCCTACTCCTGGCATCACCAGTCACAAACTAGTTTTCCTGGCATGTTGGAATCTGAAGAAACTTAGTTCTGGCTTTTTTCTTTTTCAATTTGTTTTTACATTAGGCTTTCTATGTATGACAGGAAGCAAAGATGGTGTTCCAGGATTCCCAGAATAGGAGGACTGATGCACCTTTAGCCTGCCGTGACATTGGTGTCACGGCAGGCTAAAAGAATAATGTCCATCGCTCTGCTCTTTTATGAGCAATACTCCACTTTGGGGCATAGCTGTACATCACAGAATATCAACATAAATTCTATATAAAATATGTAGCAAAGCAAAATGACCCCCTGACTGAACTGTTACTGTCAGGGTGTTTAAGGTATCAGATAGAATTGCTCAGAGTGGAAAGCTAACTATGAATAGCTCCTGTTTAAAGTGACCTACACTAAATTAGCACATGCAGCATTTGACCAGCAGGTGGCACACATGTCATGCTTTTTCTTTTAATACATTATGTACTTTTCGGCGACATATTTTGACCATAAAAGAGACGTTTCTTGGGTGCTAAAAAGATGGAAACAACAACATGCTCCTTTGAGTTTTCATAAGTTTGCAAATGTTGTGCAACTAAAACCTCTGTTTTTAATGCAAAACGTTAGTGTGTGTGTGTGTGTAGGAAAATTTTGTGTTTGTACTATGGAAAGCCGAAAGCCCTTCCATGTGTTGATTGCACTTTAAAAGTGCATATGCATATAAAAATGTGACTGATATGGTGTCATTTGTTATATTCATGAGGACTTTCCTATTACATCAGTGATGTATTTGTTACCTAAGATCCGCAATGATCCTCGGTCTCCACAGGAAGACCCATTGTTTCGAGTAAGCGATCCTTGTGTGCTCCTTTTATTGATTTACTTGGATTCAAATGATATCCCCTCCTGTTGCTATTGGTAAATCTTTTATAAAATATACTTCTGATTTTTTGTTTAATGTTAAAAGATATCCAGTTACCTAAAAAACTTTTTTAGGTACATGTGATGTTGCAAGCTCATACACTTCCATTGAAAACTAAAATACCCAAGGCATACAGGCAGTAAAGTCATTATTACAGGATAGTTAAATGTACACTAAGGCATATTATACTAATGTGTCCAGTGATCCAAAACTCAGTATATATCGGGCTATTGCCCGCTATACGCTGAGAGTGCAGAGCCGCACAGCAGCTAGGACAAATCCCGACAATACTGGCTTAGGCTGCATATTCAACAATATAAACCTGACAGAGGGTCTAATCATTCTGCATTCTATCCAAAGAAAAGAAAAAAATTATTGTGGTAGAATTCTTCTCAGGCTTTACGGTCTGAGTCTTACCAGTGTGGTAAAGAAACATGGAATATGGAAGTTTACGTACAATGTTGTGACCTTTAGACTTTTACAGCTGGCTGGCCACTCCTATGTATGTCTGCTAAAAATTGTTAGCTATTGATATGATTACTCTTTTTACCTATGCATAATTTTTTTAATTACATATAGAGGTTACTACTAAAGGTTTAATTAGATCTCACATATTCCAAGAAGTGGTTAATTATAGTTCCCAGAAAACCTGAATAGTTAAAGTAGGTTTAACCTGTCATAAAAGAAAAATGGGGGCTTGCCCATGTTGGCATCCTTCTGTCAGTGACATGGGACACGCATCCTGATGATAAAAGTCAGGGTCCTTGTCTACATAAACCACAGTCGTGTGATAATTGGCCTCAATTAGGCCATGTTTTCTGTAGCACACTGTACCTTTCCTCACCAAACTAGCTTTCCCAGTGCTCCTCTCACAGCATATAACTAAATGTATTTTATTTCAATTTATAGTAAGATAATACATTAAAAATATACACTTTATAATATTATATATTAGACATGTGAGAAAAGTTTTAAAAACCGTATCAAAATAAATACCAACCCAGTCAGTTTTTGGAAGAACCACAAATTATAAGTTCTCAGCTGGCAATTCTTCACTTGTTAAGACAAGGTACTACACCCTAGAAGACCATTGTGTGTTCTGAAAGTGCAAGCCAGGGACTATGAGTACATGCACTTGGACATGCACAAATAGGAATGGATGGACTGGACATGTGTATTGGTTCTGAAATGGGACTTATTAATATTGTTTTAGTTTATGAATTGCAAGCACACCTAATATCCTCAAGATGCATCGTTGTGTACTTATGTGAGGCCAGAATACAGTATGCACATGAATATTAATGAAGGCATTATACATACACTATATTGCCAAAAGTATTGGGACACCCCTCCAAATCATTGGATTCAGGTATTCCAATCACCTCCATGGCCACAGGTGTATACAATCAAGCACCGAGGCATGCAGACGCTTCTACAAAAATTTGTGAAAGAATGGGCGCTCTCAGGAGCTCAGTGACTACAAGCGCGGTACCGTGATAGGTTGCCACCTGTGCAATAAGTCCATCCGTGAGATTTCCTTGCTACTAAATATTCCACGGTCACCTGTTAGCGGTATTATGACAAAG